AACTAGGTATATATCAATATTCCAGAAGAATATTGTTTTGATATTATAGAAGAATCAATACTGCATAATGTAGGAGAATAAAATTTTACTATTGATAGTATTTTCCACTAAATTAAAGAGAAACATGCTATGTTTCTAAAATGTATGCTACAATTAAAATAAATATTATATTGAACCAAAAGTTTAATTTGACTTTATTGTTTGGCATGACCAGTTGTACCATCACTGGATCAATAATGATGCAAAATTAAATATTCAAATGGATATTCAATGAAGAATCGGAAAATTCTTCAATCCAATGAAATCATATTTGATGTTTGTTCTCTTTATTGAAAATTGATTATTGATCGTTACTGGTTAAATAAAAATTGAATTCCCTATATTTCTGAAAATTTATTAGGGTGATATATGGGGCCCCGTCACCCTCCACGTTGACCATCTAGATATTATTTATATATAATAGATTTGATTCAAATATTAGATGATTGCATGACGTTCGCAACTTGAAGTTTGCGAAAGTGATACTCAAATTACGAGCATAATTTTTAGACTATACAATTAAGAAGGTGTGTCTTTTTAATACTAGTGATCATAAATCTCAACTTTTTAATAAATGTTAGTTGAAATGATAAATGATTTAACATTATTGTTTGTTAAACGCCTCAAATTAATTTAATTGAGAACCAAATACTTCTCATTTCAATTTAGGGAAAGTCATTATGCATCATGCCAACATCATAATTCTCCTAGTCCTAGTTATAACTTGGCTTATGGTTTGAGTCTAATTTTTCCATCAAATTATTTCGATAGTGCAGTATATGTAAAATTAATCCACTGCAATGCACTAAGATGGAAATTAAAAAAAATTGAGAATAAATGCGTAGTATGCACTCTTATCCCAAATTGGTGATATTTTATAACTCAGTAAAAATTATTGTCACTTTGATTTAACAATTCTCTCTGCATTAGGGAAAAGAATTAAGAAGCTGAAAATAATATACAAATGCATCATTATCTAAATCCTCGCAAAAGACAATTCGAACAAGAAATTCGAAGAATAATTCATTTAAATGCATTTACTGACCAAAGAGATTAACAATCTCACACATCGATTTTAAATGCCCCAACTCGAATTGACTCCTGGAAGGACAATTCGTTAATATTATATTTGATAAATTTATGACACGCATGAAGCTTGATAATATTCGATTCTATTACAAAATCCTTCAAACGAAAATGGATCAATTGGTAACGATTGTCTTATTAAGGAGACATATACTCTTGATGAGTATTTAGACATCAAGTTTTACAACCCCAGAAGAAGTTCAAGTACTTGAAATAATGAAAATTGAGATATTTCAATATGTTATGTCATTCTAGAAAAGAATAGAATCGAAAAATAAAAAGTTACCGACAACACTTTTGCACATGATGTACTGCATCATATTATGAATGACGATGAATCGAAATAAATTCGTTGAAATATATCGATCGAAGTAATGATTGGCCAAATAAAATGACGCGATCCTAGTGAAAGAATTTACTAGAGAAACATGAAATTTTCGGATCTACAATCTGAACATAGAAAAGTGTATATTTATGCGAAATGAAAATGAAAAAAATAAAGTCGTAATATGAAATGTACGACTCTCTACATAATGAATTTCACGAAAACTTGTATAAATAGATAAATTATCATGTGGTAGATGTAATCACAAGTCTCAATTTCATTAGCGTGACAATACATGAAATTTGATGTGCTGAAATAAATGTGATTATAGACAATTTATGATTTTGATACTATTTTGCAAAGATTTAATATGCTTGAAGTATAATTCAAGTGATATTATCAATTGGGGAGTAAATACGGGTTGTACTCTTTTTCCCTTGACCGAGATTTTGTCCCATTGAGTTTTCCTGGCAAAGTTTTTAGTGAGACAACTCTTGTAGCGTACTTAAAAGAATAGTGTACTCTTTTTCCTTCATTAGAATTTTTTCCACATGGTTTTTCCTAATAAAATTTTAATGAGGCATATTCTTTGTGTGATTAATGTCCATAACATAAAAGACATTTACTCTCAAAATAATATTATAATATATATGAGACTCCTGAAGAGCTCAACAAAACTTAGATTACGTGAAAAATGAATTTTGAGATGAAAAATTTGGGAACAATCAAATTCTGAACATTTTCTAGTATGATTATTTGTTCATCAATCTACATATATAGAAAAATC